TGGGCTGGGCCCGCGGTGAGCCCGGCCTCCTCTCTCCGGGGGGCGACTTGGTCTTTGATGGTGGCCTCAGCTGGGGTCGCCACTCCCTGGCCCGGGGAGGAGCCAGGCTTTCCCTGCACTTCCCCTTCCTTCTCTACACCCCAGGCCTCAACCCAGGCCTCCGCGTTAGGGTCTGTGTCTTTGGGGACGACCCTGAGCTGGAGCAGGGCATGGCCACCTGTCCATCCGGGTCGGGGGCCCAGCTGGATGGTTGCCAGCAGGACGCTGCGGGTCCGGGGAGTTAGACGGGGATCAGGTCTGGTGGGGAGAGGAGTACTACCTGCCCTGTGGCCTTTCAGAGTAGGCACTGGCGGGAGCCAGTCTCCTGTTCTCAGAGATGGGGAACTGAGGCACGGTACTGTTAGTGGTAGATCAGGAAGGGACAGGATCGTTGTCCTCCTGCCCAATCCCCTGGCCCATGACTTAACTGGCTTTAGACAGAGAGGCCTGGCCTTTAGGCAGTGATGCCTCCTTGGGCATCGTTTGCAAAGAGCTTGGTCAGCAGGGTGGGTCAATGGGGACTCGAGGGGGAGTCGTGACACCATGTGAGTGGGTGTTAAGGGACTTCTGGGGGAGCAGCAGAGGGAACCTGGTGGCACGGTCACGGGCTGTGTGCTAAAGTCACCCCAGCGGCTTTGCTGTCTCAGAAGGACCTGTCCTAGTTGGTGTCTGGGTTTCCTGGGTTCCAAGCTTCCCTGTCTATGAGGCTGGTGTGCTGCCTCACAGCACCCTGACCGCCCCCCCATGAACGCCTTGGGTGCCAGCTTCCAGGGTACCCCAGCTCCAAGCACAGCCCACAGGGTTGTCGTACTGTGTTGCTTGGGCAAAGTGTCTTCAAGGGAGAGAAGGAGCCTGGGGAGGCGCCCACGAGGATTCCCCCACATTGTACCGCATGCTGGGCTCTTCCCAGACGTGAGGGTGGCCCTGGGGACCCCAACAGAGTCCAAGGCAGAGAAAGTTCACTGCAGAAGGTACCACAGCAGGGCGGGGAAGGGCAGGACTAGGGCTGATATTTCCATGCTGGTGCTGTAGGGTGATACTTACCTGAAGCAAAGAGAGAGCAGCCTGAGGTGGGAAGAGGTGCACAGTGGGTTGTTTGGGGTGGAGCCCTGAGGACGTCTTAGGCTGAAGGAAGGAGGAGCAGAGCCCGGAAAGAGCTGCAGAGCCGGGAGGAGAGAGACACAGGCGCGCTGAGGCTAGAGTGGGCAGTGTGGCGGTTTGTCCTAGAGGTTCTGGTCTTGCCTGCTACTGGTGGTTGTTATTAATAGCACCCCCTCTTTATCACAGAGGGGCCTCAGTTTTCATACTACATTATGGGGTCCCCCCAGGGCCTCATTCCTCTGGGTCATACATGAGGATGAGTCCCAGGTATGATTCCTAAACCTCTAGGAATCTCCACTTTTTCATCTGTGAGGCGCTTGGGTTAGTTACGGTTCTGCCAGAGAACAGAACCAGGAGGAAAGCAGAGGGACAGACGGGCAGGCGGAAATATGACTTTCCAGGAACTGTTCGTGTGATCCTGGGGCCGGGCTGGGGAAGTCGTCAGTCTGAAGGCAGCTGTGGGGAAGGGCTGGCCGAAAGCGCTCAGGCAGGAGCTGAGGCTGAAGCTCTTCCTTGGGGAATCCTTGAGACCTGACTGAGCTGATGGCCCCCTCCCCCGATCTGTGATGATCTCCTGCAGGAAGTGCACTGCTCCTACAGGTTAACTTCAGAATGCCTTGGTAGCAACAGCCGGGTAAGTGTCTGAGCACCCTGGCCTGTGCAAACTGACATGCACAGCTCCCCATCGCAGAGGTGATGGTCAGAGTTCCACTGTCCACAGGCATCTTATGCAGATTAAAGGAGGCAGTGATTGGCAGTGCCCTGGCGCAGTGCTTAGCAGAGTGAACCTTAATAAATATGAGATGCTATTATTTCATTAGCTTATCAGGAAAGCTAATTGAGGGTGTTGAAGGAGAAACCAACTCAGTCTTGTCTATTATTTTTTACTTCATTTTCAAAAATCTGTTGATAAATTCATTCCACACCCAACGCCATCTGCAGTGAGAACAGTCTGGCCATTGAACGTAGGAAGGCAGGTCTCCTCTGCAGACAAAAAGCATCTGCAGGCTTTCCTGTGTTCCTAAGAGAGGAGGTGCCCCAGGAGCCCTTCTGTTCAGGTGCTGGCGCGTTGGAGGCTCAGAGCCTCCGACAAACAGCTGGACCACCTTTCTGCCTGCAGCTGGCGCCAGCTGTGGCTCCCTCTGCTTTTGTGTCCGCCCAGCATGGTAGCTGTCATGGCACTGCCCACTGGTCTCCGCCTGACCACAGACAAGAGGGAGGCTCAGCTGGCCAAGCGAGCCCAAGATCCAGACACAATTTGGAGGCCCGGGTCTCCCTCCCGCAGGCTGGCCCCGGCTTCTCGGACCACTTCCTGCTTTCCCTGGTGGTCCTGAGAATTGGGCCAGTTTCCCCAGAGACACACCCTGTCCTGCTAAGAGTGCCCCCACGGGACGGACTAGGAAATAGGCACAACCTTGGAATCCAAACCTCCAGGGTCCAGAACCCGCCCTCCCTGATGGACTGACCCATCCCTCTCGTGGACAGCGTGCACAATGTTGTATCTTCAGTTCCTGAATGTTACCCTTTTTATGACTCAGCGCACCAAAAAGTGATAAACACCAAGGAAAAAGCAGCAGGATGGAAACAGACAAAATACCACAGTTAGATGATAGCTGTAACATATTTTTTAAATTCTGTAAATGCATATAAATACTCCCCTTGATAAGCAATCACAGCAGAGGAGAGCAGTAAATCCTCACAAAGACAAACACAGTTGCTGGATCGTAACCCATGCATGAAAAATTACCATTAGGGGAGTGAAGCCAGCGGAAGTTGTGGGGACTGTCTTGGGGGCCAGTTTGGGAAAACTAAAAGCTGCCATTTGCTGAACCTCCCTTGTGTGGGCCAGTTTCCCTCAGCAATCCTGCAAGGTAGGTAGGTGGTATCAGGGAAACTGAGGCGTTGGAGATGATCTGCCCGGGAGAGGTGGGTCCTGGAGTTAGTGGCTTAAAGCTCTCTGGCCTCGGTTCCTCTGCTAAAAGTGGTTATGAAAACATCTACGAGGGCCGGGACCTGAACGCCACCAGAGAGCTTGGTCCTGCACCCTAGTCCTGCAGATCCAGTAGCAACTCCTACCCTTGCCTGGCCTGGGAGTCTCCTGGCTGTGTCCCTAAACCTGATGGGGCTGAGATAGGAGGCAGACCTGGTCCTGGGTGTTCCAGAGCTGTGCCGGGTGTCCCAGCCTGAGCCCACTTGACAGAGTTAGAAAATCAACCCTCTGCTTTTGCCCCTCCCTCCCTCCCTCCTTCCCCTTCTTTTTCTCCTTCTTCTCCCTCTTCCTCCTCCTCCTCTTTCTCTCTCTCTCTCAGTGGTGGTGGTAGGATTTCTGAGGAACATTTTATACCTGATAATACAGCAAACATAAAGTATAATACCCATTCTTAATAGAACTGTGGGCGAAAAGCATTGCTTGTTGCATTTTTTCTATCACTGTACAGTTCAAAGGACAAACTGACAGCTATTCAGTGGTCACATTGTATACATAATCTTTCCAGGAATTCCACATACTGAAATAGGCCTCAAGGAAGTAACTCACCAAATTAGACAATAATTTGTAGGAAGATATTCATAATGCTGCATTTATAGTTCCAAGGACTCGGGGACACCATGACGCCCAGAGTAGCAGACCAGCTACAGAAGCAGGCGCACAGAGTCACCCATGAGCGGGGACCTGTGAGGCTGTTTGATTGCCAGCCGCTTCCAGCACCCGGAAATGTTATGTGAGGTGACGTCACCTCTGAAAGGCGAAGTAAAAAGTAGATTGTCTACACAGATAGAAATGTGGCGGGATTTAAAGCTTTCCTCATTTAATATTCTTTTGCATTTTTATCCGAGTAAAGTTGCTTCAGTTCCTGGCCTTTTTAAAAGAGAGACTGTCAGGTTCTTACCGTGTTATAGAGTGATTTTGCTGGTGTTCTGCCCAGGTAGGGATTGAGCTCACCAAGGACCAGATTTGGGGACTTCAGCCATCACTCTTCGCAAAGCTCCTGACCAGAAGAGAGTTTTCTAACTCTACTGTGGGAGCTGGGCTTGTGGCTGCTGCTTCACGGTTTCTCTCTGCTTTCTAGGAAGATCAGCCCATCTACTTGGCGGTGAAGGGAGTGGTGTTTGATGTCACTTCCGGAAAGGGTAAGTGGCTTGGCGTTTTGAAACTTTATTTCTGGGAATCTCAGAAGCCAGCATGGGCACTTGGAGGTGTAAGGAAAGGGAGGGAATGCTGGGCAGCAGGTCCCTTTCCTTTCATCTTAAATGAGCAGATTGGGTTTGTCTTTGTCACTTGTTTACTTCTGTAGCCTCACCCAACCGCATTAATGCCATACAACTACTTAAAAGTCTTCCATGTGGAACCGAATTCAAATTTGATGATTTACTCTAGTGAAGCACTGAGAAAAGGATTGTTCAGTGAAGAGTTGGCATAATAAGACATTGTAGAACATTTTGATGCCATTTAGCAGTTTTCCTAACTATAACTACAAATAACAGGCAAGTAGTTTGGTAATGGTTCGTCTTTTTTTATTGCATTACTGCATGGAAATAGACTTGGCTTCCACCAACATTTAAGAAGACTGGATGTTTTTCTAAATATCACCTCTCAGCCCCCACTGGGACTTAATCCATATTTTGAGTTTGTGGAACCCAACCTGGTGGGACAGGTGGACTGCTGGGCTTGGTGTTGCCATTTCTCACTGGTCCTCAGGCCTGGAGCCTTTCTTAGCATGGTGGGACCTTGGAGTGCCACACTTGCACACCCACACTCTTCTCTACCTCACTGCAGAATTTTACGGGCAAGGAGCCCCCTACAATGCCTTGACCGGGAAGGACTCCACCAGAGGAGTGGCCAAGATGTCACTGGACCCTGCAGACCTCACTCATGACACTGTGAGCCTGATTACGAGCTGATTACAGTGACCCCCGCACTCAGCTGTGGCCATCTTTTTTGTTTTGGTTTTTTTGAGACAGGGTCTCACTATGTAGCCCAGGCTGATCTCAAACTACAGCAGTCCTCCTGCCTCAGCCTCCTGAGTGCTGGGATTATAGGTGTGCGCCACCACCCCCGGCCTTGTGGCCATCTTTTTAATGTTCATGCACTAGTGAAGATTCTGAATTAGCCTGCTTCCTTCTGGTGCTGGCTAACGATGTTCTTGGATTAGACTATTTTACTCAGAAACCTTTGCATAGAGTCAAGTTCATACTTCTGAGAACTTGCGATCCTCCCAGTCTGGCCCAGACCTGCCTTGGTGGCCTGATTGTCTAATAGCCTCACCCACCAACCCCCAACCCCTGTCAGTTTTTCTCTTTCCTCCTGAGACCTACTCCAGGGCCATTCTTGGTAGCTCGGTGGTTTGACTGAGTTGAGAAGCAAGGTCTCCTCCATGCCTATATTTATGAGAGAGAACAGCATTTAGAAAAATAGTAATCCCCACAATGAGGCAGTGTTGCTTACTGTCAAATTGATAATTGTGATGAAACAAATGAGTCAAACTCTTAAGCCACAACATTACAGAAACAAATTAAGATGGGGAAGTGAAGTCAGCTTTCTGTTACTGTAACAAAATACCTAAGATAACTAACTCAAAAAGAGAAAAGATTTATTTTGGGTCACAGTTTTGGAGGTTCCAGTCCATGACCAGTTGAACCCATTACTTCTGGGTGTGTGGTGAGACAACACTTATCTCATGGTCAGGAAACAAAAAAGAGGAGGAACTCTTGTTCCATAATCCACTTCACGCGCATAACCCCCATCCCTCCCTCTAGGCCCTACTTGATAAAGGTCCGCTGTCTCTCAACAGCGCCCCCTGGAGCCCAAGCCTTTAACACATATGCCTTAAGTCCAGGGATCTTCTAGATCCAAGCTACAGCAGGAAATGTACATAATTTAAAATGGAGATTCAAATGTAGAGTATGGTAGGATTAATCAGGAAGGAGGGCCCAGAGCACACCCAGCCCCATCCCAGGATCAATGTTCTCTGGAGTCTTTAATTCCTGCCTCAGTCAAAAGGCAAAAAAATGATGCCCACTCCCCTGCTTGCACACACTGGCTTGTCTTAAATTAAAAGTCCATTGTCCATTATTTGTTTGTTGTTTTTTCTCCTGCATTCAGGCATGGGGAGGGCTGGGCAGGGATGAAGAAGGGCCAGTACCACACACGACTTACTCCTGTGTCTCCTGGACCCTTTTCTCCCCAAGGCGGGGCTCACGGCCAAGGAGCTGGAGTCCCTGGAAGAGGTCTTCACCAAGGTGTACAAAGCCAAGTACCCCATCGTCGGCTACACGGCCCAGAGGATCCTCAACGAGGACGGCAGCCCCAATCTGGACTTTAAGCCTGAAGACCAGCCCCATTTTGACATCAAGGATGAGTTCTGATGTCTCGCTGTGGGGTGGCTTTCTGGGCGGGTGAGGTTGGGACAGGCACTAAATCTCCTACAGAACAGGCTGCCTGGAGGTGTCAAGTCACCCGGATCTGAATAAAGCAGACTTTCACCAGAACAGCAGCTGCCTTTTCGTCCTCATCAGGAGCTCTGTCCACCCCAGTGTCCCTGCCCACACACCGGCAGGGTCCTCATCATAGCCCCAGCCAGAAACCTCCGAATGGCAGCATCTGGGCCCTAGATTTTGAGTGACCTTTGTTTCTTCTTTATACTTTTCTGTACTTGCCAGATTTTTTACTGCGGTCCCATTTATACTGAGAACAAAAATAAACTTCCTGTTGAAACAAAGAGAATCCTTCCACATGAGCCACCCCCCCTTAGGGACTCATCACGCCCCCTGTAGGTCCAGCATCCTGCTTTCTGTCCCCTGCCTGTGCAGGGACCAGGTGTCAGGGCCCACACAGCAGCAAGGTGGGAGGGGAGAGGGATTTGCTGGGACGGTGGGCGACAAGGAATGGAGTGAGTGAGGGCGGACGGGAGCTGGCCACAGCCCCATGTGGCTGGAGAGTGGTCCTGAGGCTGGAGCTCAGTGGGGCAGAGCCTGGCCAGGGCCGTTCCAAGAATGGTGACATGCACGCTGCACTGTGATCAGATTTCAGGAGGACGCTGGGCGAGGTCTGGAGACACTTTCTGTTTGCTTGCCACGACTGCAGGTGCTGACGGCATGTAGGGGCCAGAGGTATTGCTGAGTGTCCTGTAATGCTCAGGACGCCCAGGCCCCACCACAGAAAACCTGGCCCAAATGCTGGTCATGGTAAGACTGAGGCACCCTGCATTAGGCCAACCCTAGAAACTTCACAGCAGAGATTACTTTCTTTGATACAAGCCCTTGTTGCTTATAAAATAAACAACTATCTTAGCGCTTGGACATATGATTCGGTATTTCTACAACAGTGGCCTGGGAACTGCACTTTTCATGAGCGGCCCAGGAAAGTGAGACGTGTGGGTCCGACCCACTGAGAGAGATGCCCGCAGGCCCCTCCGGCTCAGGTCCTTTCCCAGTACCAGCGCAGCCTTCGCTCTTCTCTTTTGTGGCTGGAGTCTGGTGGCAAACCTCCTGGGTCCTACTCGAGAGGCGGGGAGCTTCGTGGGCATCTGTGTTACTTTTCTCTCATTGCTGAGACAAAATACCTGACACCCAACGTTAAAAGGGAAGGGGCTTATTTGGCTTATAGTTCGTAGTAGTTTCAGCCCATAATGGGCCGGCTCTGAGGCAGGGAAGGTAAACAGGCCTCCTGGGGAAGAAACAATACTGGTGTGCACACGAGGCAGCAGAGGCAGAGAGAGAGAGAGAGAGAGAGAGAGAGAGAGAGAGAGAGAGGGAGAAACAGCACCTTTCCGCCCCTTTTATCTTATGCAGACGATTGGGATCAGGGTGGTGCCAAACTAATCACTCACATGTAGTGGTTTAGTGACCCCAGCGTCACACATTGCAGATGGAGCCACCTCTGAAAGAGGAAATCCCACCTTATCCGCACGCATGAGCCTCGGGGGACATCTGCACACAAACCGTAGCAGCATCCAAGACAGACCCCGCCCGGCATTCCGAAGTTGCTGGCACAGCCCAGTTAGTCTGCAACGGGACACTTTGCCCTTGATCGGGCGGTGCATGAGTGAGCAGGAGTGGTGTCTGAGCCCTTGGGACCCCTGGAGAGGTGACTTCTTCCACGCAGACACAGGCACTCGCCACTTCCTGTTGCCTCACCGCGGACAGCCTAGAATTCCCTGCTCAGCCCCTGGCTCTGCGGCAGGGCGAGGTCTCCCAATTCAGGCCCGTGGACGTGGAGAACCTTCATTCTTCCACTCCCCTTGCACTCTGACCCCACCATGGCACAGTTTTCCCCGGCCCTGGACGAGCTTGCAAGCCAGACCTGCACGAGCTGTTGGACCGGGGGGCGGGGGCAGCCTGTGCTGCCCCAGGAGGAGGGAGCAGCTGTGGCTATTGTCCCAGGGGAAGTGTAGGCTGAGGGGGGACCGTGGGGCTGTGTGGGGCCGGATACTTTACCTGTTCTCCTGCAGCAAGTCCAGGCTCAGCGCCTCCGAGGGGCACCCGGGGCCTGCTCCCACACGTGCTCATTTTGGTGTAATTTGTGCCGTTCTTGCTCAAATCTAAGTTCTTCCTGCTGAGTTGCAGCCTCCCTGTACTGGATGGGCGATACTCATTCCTCCACACCCCAGAAAGCCAGTCAGGGCCCAAGTCTGTGCTCTGAGGCCCTGGCCTTGAGGCCAAGGTCATGCAGAGCTCCCTGGGCCAGGTCCCAGCCTCTCCTGGCAAAAGCCCTCCAGACTCCTGGGGCCACACCTTGCGCCTGCTTCCGGTCTTGCTCCTGGGGTCTTCCTGCCGCCGCTGAAGCTCCAGGAGGAGGCAGGGTCTGAATGGAGCTGGCCCACCCTCTCTGTTGGCTTCCCTGGGCTTGTTAAACCCAATCTCCAAAAAGCATGACTTGCAGGCACTGGCCCTGGCTGCCTGAGGGACTTCCGAAAGAGCTGCTGTTGGGGTTCATGCTCAGAGCCCCCTCCTTCAAGACAGTGAGTGACTCACAGTACTCTTGTAGGGCAGCGTAACCGGTCATTTCTGCACACCCCGGTGGCTGGTGGCTCCGGGCAACCCTGGGCCTTGCCCTCGCAGGTCCAGTACCTTGGGCAGAAGCTGCCCTCATGGCCCTGCCCAGGACATCAGATGTCTGCTCTCTGAAGCATCTTCACAGCCTGACACCCACACATATGTGGTCTCTCGGTGCTGGATCTGTTTCTCCCCTGGGCTCCCTGGAGCAGCCAAGCAGAGCTGCTAAGCCAGGTGGGCCTTTTGCAAACTGACAGGTGCCAGGCGTTCACATCCCTGGGGCCCCTCTCAGCTGGTGGGGTCCTGGGCAAACAAACCCTCCCATAGCCCCAGAGCTCATTCTTTGTGTTTGCTCGAAGGGGCTCAGATGATACCAGATGCCCATGTTCATCAGCTTCCAGTCAACTTTAAAGGAGGAAAAGTTAATGTTGGCTCATGGTTTCCGAGCTTTGAGTCCATAGTAAGTCGGCTCCATTGCCTTTGGGGACCAAGCCTTTAACACAAGGGCCTTGGGCAGGAGCACCCCACACCCCAGCTGCTCACAGTGGTGTCAGCTCAACAGCACACCCTCGGATTGGCCAGGTCGCTTTCCCGGTTCTGTTCTTCTGGTCCCTGGTGCTGGGTCCCAGGGTCACTTCCCAGATGAATGTGCCAACCCCCGAGCTCGTCCCATCCTCTGCCGGGGGTGGGGAGAACCGGCTAAGACACGAGTTTATGTCTTCAGACACCAACACAGTCCCAGGATGCCAAACTCAGGCGTGCTGACCACGCCTTCCATGTGGACAGCACCTTAGGGTTCAGAGCTTCTCTCCCGGGTGCTGTTGGTCATGTCCAGAACTTAGTGGTGCAAGCCAGTACTCACTGCGCTCAGATTCTGTGCACCATGGGGACAGCCGCTGTCCCTGATGCCCTCTGCTGGAACGGCGAGGGCCCCTCAACAGCTCATTCTCATTTCTGGTGAGTGGAGTTGGCTGCCGGCAGGAAGCTCCGTTCTGGGAAAAGTCCATCGTCTCCTTCGGTTCTGACCCTGACTTCTCAGAATCTGTGGCGTTCGGGTGGACACCTGGCCAGGAGCAGGTGCGCACGCAGCAAATCACACTGTCTGTGGACAGCGGCATGTTTTAGAGTCAGGCTGACCTGTGTGTGAATCTGGCTTGATCACTCAAAACTGTGTGATCCTGAAGGAGTAGAGAGCTTCTCAGAGCCTCTGTCTCTTAAACTTTAAAAAAGGCCAAAAATATCCATCTCCCAGGGCTCATGGGTGGATAGGGCCCTGATGCCACGTGGGACTCAGTTTCTCTTTCTTTCTCCTCCTCCTCCACTATCCTGCCCTCTCCTCCTGGACTCGTTGGCTGGGGCTTCCCAGCTGGCTTCTGTGTATACCAGGGTGCAGAGGGAGTCTGAGTGAGCTGCTGTGGTTCTCTCATCCCAGACCCAGACACTTCCTGCCAGGCTGAGACCCCGGCTCTCCTGAAGGTGAGAAAGTTAGGGACCACCATGGTGCGACAGGTGACACCATAACCCCCCAAAGTACTCTTGTGGGGCAGCATAAGTGGTCATTTCTTACCCTCTCCCGTTTCCAACAGACCCGTCGCAAGACCTGACAAAACCCCACAAGCAGAATGTTTGTCCGAAATGAGAAACTGTCACCAGGGGAAATCTAAATGAGCTCTCTAGCTTCATTTGCTTATAGCAAAGTAGTTCTGGAGCTCACGCTGGACCCCACCCACTCGCTTCGATATAAGGTAACACCGCTGACAACAGTTGCCCAGGTTACTTTGCAGAAATCCAAAGGCCACTTTGGCTACAGCCTTGGCTTCCTTGGGGTGGTCTGAGGGCGTGACTGAAAACTGAGTGAAAAGCTGGGTGTCCCTATCTTCCTGCTGTGCCTTCCCCTTTGCTGTCTGAACCCTTAATCTGATTCTACTTCACTGGGCACGAAGAGACATTTGATTATTTAAGAAAAAGTTCTCCCACCTGGGTGCGGTGGCTCATGCCTGTAATCTCAACACTGCTGGAGGCTGAGACAGGAGGACCTCAAGTTTGAGTCCAGCTTGGGTGACTTAACAAAACCCTGTCTCAAAAGGAAAAAAAGAAAAAAATCAAAAAGTCTGGGATGAAATTCAGTGTAAAGACCCTGGTTCAACTTCTAGTTTTAAAAAAAAGTTAGGTCCAAAACTGTAACACAGGGTGAACTTGGCTGGCTGCTTGTTGAACTGGTACATATATATTTTTTTTTTCTTTTTCTCTTTCTCTCTTCTGCCCCACCCCTGTGCCTCTCCAGGAGCCGCAATACCTGACATGAGGCCAGAATGTTTTGTGCCCACACCAGCAAATCCTGCAAACCTGCTGCTCTTTGTTCCGTGAACAGCTTGCTCCGCTCCCCGCTAGTGCGGCCCCCGCTTCCTCAAAGCCCAAATGCAGCAAACCTCACCGCTCCCTGCCAGCAGGGTTGGCCCTGTGAACAGGTGTGCCACAGAGGCCCTGCCTCCTTCCTGCCATCTTCAGGTGGAAAGGCTCCATCTTCCTGTCTCCCTCTTGCAGCTTCAAGGTCCCAGGCTGCCCAAAGTCCCCAGGGAAGCCTGTCCCACCCTGGGTCCCCCATGGTTTGGGCCTCTGCCCAGTACTCTGATTCCCCAGGAGTTGAGCCTGCGCACCAGATGTTAAGTGACTTTGGCAACAGCACGGAAGATGCAATCCTATCAGTGCCACCTGGGCCTTTGCGTTTGGTGTC